AGCGGGGATGCTCTACATTCAGCTCCCTGCGCCTCACTGGGACAATCCTGTTTCTGCCACTTACTGGACTGGATGTGCTACATTTGAAAGGAAGTGGCCTAAGATAGAACTTCCATTGCTAGCATAGCAACGCAGTAACACCAAGATAAGGAAGTATGGAGGACGGAGGGAATGTAGGAGAGTTTTGGCCGGTGTTGATTTGGCCAGTGTTGATTTGGCAAGTGTTGAGAATCTGTGACCTCAGCATCTGTCTGCCTCCAGGGGGCGCTGCGGAGAATTTTTTTTTTGGATTGTCCTGGGTAGCTGCTGTTGAATCTGAAGCAGGGTGGTGCTGTGTTCCTGGTGGTCGCTGGGCGGCTCGCTGGAGCGGGCTGTCTTTTGCGTCCACACTCCGGCTACCTTCCCCACGCCTCTCGGCTCTGCTGTGAGAGATTGTCTTCACCATGCAAAGGAGGTGGCATTTCCCCTGACTCACACACAACACAGTGTACTCGCTAAGTTGCTGAAGAACTCAGTGTGGACAGCGTGTACATGTCCCCTCATTTTATTGAAGCTGCTGAACTTCAGTCAACTTCCTTTCTGCCGCTTTATCTCTTTCTCCCTCACGTTCTCCCTCTCATTCCCCCTCAATTCACTTCAATTTTGCTTTATTTGCTTGACCATTTACAATACAGTGTTGCCAAAGCAACAATGATTCAACAAACATGAACTCTCCCTCCCCTCTCACACTCTCTCTTTCTCTCTCTAACTCTGTCACACACACACTCTCTTACTCGTTCCTTCTTTCTCCCTCTCTCTCACATACACCCACTGTTACTCTTTTTCTTCCTCTTTGTCTCCTCCGCTCTCTTTCCCTTTCTTTCTCCCTCCTCTTTCTTTCACACACATGCACACACACTCTCTGGCCCTCTCTCTGTCTCTCTCACTCTCTCACACTCTCTCTGCCCCCTCCCCTTCTGCCTATCTCTGTGACACACACACACACACATTCTCTGGCCCTCTCTCTCTCTCTCTCTCTCTCACACACACACACACACACACACACACACACACACACACACACACACTCTCTTTGTCTCTCTCTGCTGGTACAGAGAGAGGGCCGGGTCTTATCTCTGCTGGAGCCTGGGGCCTGCCCTCCTGTGTGAGAGATGTCGGGCGCTGAGGCCGGGCGTCTCTGTCATTGGAAGTCGATAGAGCGTCTGCATTTCGGGGACGGGACGCCGCCCTGGCATTTGGGATTACCCCGCTGTTCTGGGGCTCCCTGCCTCTCAGAGGAGCTGTGAGGGAAGAGACGCCCCCCCACCCCCGAGCACTGAACCCCTCTCTCCCATCGATCTCAGCGCTAAAGCCCACCAGTGATTAAGGTGACTCACGGGCTTTAGTCACTTAAGCTGTTTGCCTGTCAGCGCCGGCGCTAAGCAGACAGGGCCTGGCGGGTAGGCCCTTTATCATGCCTCATTTACAAATCACCATGTCCATGTCATCATTTATAAAACGTTCAGCAACGGATCAGGTGAAGCACCTTGCTGCAGGGCGGGTGCAGAGATTAAGGAGTCGTTGCTTTCGCAGGGGTTCGATCCTGAGCGGTTTTCCTGCTGGCTGTCTGCTCCGGGAGCGGTGTTGTGGGTCTCGGAGATGCAGGTGTGAGCAGTCAGAGTGTGACAGAGGGTCAGCGCCTCGCGGCTCGGCTCGGTGTCGTGTTCCTCTCCCCGGGTCAGAGCGAGCCGTCAGCCGCGCCCCCGCCTCCTCCGCGCCTCCTCCGTGCCTCCTTCTGCCACGCTGCCTCCCTGTCGCCCCGGCTCATCTCTCCAGCCCCTGAATGCGGAGGGAAATCACCTTTAAAAGGTGGCCGCGGCGCCGTCTCCGCGTCCGCACCGGCTCCTCTGCCTGGTCTCATCGCCCCCCCCGCAGAGCGGGACGTGCTGAGTGGAGATCTGCTCTGACAGGCCCTTTGGGTCCCGCTGGGGGCCGCCACGTTGGCGTGAGCAGGGTGGGGGGCGGGTTACAGGCCGGATGGCGGGTGCAGCCGGAGGGTATGCGCTCGCTCCAGGTGGCTGATGGGATAGGAAGGGACTGGAATGTCACTGTCTAATCAGCTGGAAGGGGGAGGAGTTAGGGAGACCCCCCCCTCACTCCCGGGGCGCACAGCTCAGAGAGGGAGAGGGGTCTCAGGTGTTCACCCTGAGAAATGAGAAAGGCCTGTTTGTGGGTCATGCCAGTTCACTTACTGCCTCAGGGAAAGAGCACCAGGGGATTTGACTGAGGTTTTTACATGTGTCAGAAAGTGGCCTACAGAAGCTGTTCCATGGTCTGTTCTTAGATTAGATTAGATTAGATTCAACTTTATTGTCATTGTGCAGAGTACAGGTACAAAGCCAATGAAATGCAGTTAGCATCTAACCAGAAGTGCAAAAACAAGTATTATTTACAGAAAGTGCAGTTGAGTAATTACTCCAGTATAGGAAATGTTATATTTTACAGTATGTACAGTGTTAACAGATAATAAATATGTGTAATATATTATTGTGTTGTACATAGGGGGGTGAAATGGACAGGGTTGGAAAGGGGAGAGTATATATAAGGGTTGTATGTGAGTGGGTTCTGTGAGTAGAACAACCAGGAAAATCATTTGCTGTTTGGAGTTACTCCCCATCTGTGCTGGCTCTGTCCTGTCAGTGGACCTGTATAGTCTCTTCATGCAGAAACAGAGCAGACAGCCAGCGGAGACAGAGGCAGTGCAGAGAGATTCTCACTGATGGATGTGTCATTCATACACACACTGCTCTGTGTAGCTCAGCCACTGAAATGACTTTGCTGTTTCAGTGTTTCTGCCTGTGTTCCACAGTTAGCTGGAGTCACTGGAGTGCTTTGCTTGGTGCAATGTGTTGCTTGTGATGTGTAAAGTGGAGTGTGTTGCTTGCAGTGTGTAAAATGGAGTGTGTTTGCTTGTGGTGTGTAAAATGGAGTGTGTTTGCTCGTGGTGTGTAAAGTGGAGTGTGTTGCTTGCGGTGTGTAAAATGGAGTGTGTTGCTTGCAGTGTGTAAAATGGAGTGTGTTGCTTGTGGTGTGTAAATGTTGGCAGGGGTTTTCTCCCTGTGTGGCAGAGCATTCCTGACTTTCTCCACCTTTAGCAAGTATACAGATTCAGATTTATAAGAATACACATAGTTATGTTCATATTTACTTCTGAACTGAAGCTCCACTCAACCAGTTTGAAAACATTTTTACTTACATTATGACATACATAGACATATGTACACACGTACATACACCTGCCCCACATGAACCTGGGGAAGCACCTCTGATCATGATATTACAAGTAGATGCAAGATTCTGAATTTTGATCCCCTCTCTCTCTCCCTCTCTCTCTCCCCTTACTTCCTCCTGACCTCTCCCTCTTGCTCTCTCTCTCCTCCCCCCTCCCTTTTTCTGTCTCTCTCTCCCCCTCTCCTCTCCTGTTGTCCCTTTCTCTCTCCTCCTTCTTTCCTCTATCTCTCCTCCCTCTCCTCTCCTTCTCTCACTTTCTCTCTCCCCCTTCTTCCCTCTCTCCCCCTCCCCCTCCCTTCCCCCTTTCTCTCTCTGTCCCCCAGCTTCTTTGAGAACATGACTCGGATCATCTCCCCAGACTACCTGCCCACTGAGACAGACGTACTGAGAGTACGACTGCGCACGACCGGTGTCATCGAGACCCAGTTCAAAGTCAATCACCTGGTGTTCAGGTAAGAGGTGCAGAATCACCTGGTTTTCAGGTAAGAGGTGCAGACCCAGTTCAAAGTCAATCACCTGGTCTTCAGGTAAGAGGTGGAGACCCTGTTGAAAGGATGCAGTGGAGAGGTCGGGTCAGTGTGTGTCACGGGACTCCTCTTATCTCTGTGTGAAATGTTTCAGTCCTCAGAACATCTAAACACGGTTACAGTCCCATGCAGCAGTTCTGCCAGAGCTGTGTGTTCCAGATGGAGCAGGGCTGGAAGTTTGTGTGTGTTTGTGCTGGGTATGAGAAGTCTTTCCTGGCTGATTTAAATCTCTGAGCTGGCTCAGCACTTGTGTGTGTGTCTTTTTCTCTTTCATAAGGAGTAGTAAACATTTTTTGGGCTTCTGTTGGAAGCATAACAGATTCCTTGTGGGAGTGCAACTGTGTGTAGAGGCACCCTAGGATAGTTTGTGGTGTGTTTTCCGAAGGTTCACAGGAGAGCCAGAATGGCTGCCAGGTGCCGGAATGGCTGCTGCTTCTCAGTAGGCGATGCATTAAATAGCAGTGTAATGTGTATGTAGAACTCAGCTGCTCTGGTCCCATTCACACCGGCAGCACAGAGCATCTCGCAGTGCACAACCAATGCACAACGTTCTGACAACAAGCCCGTATCGCTGCGGGAACACTGCATTTGCGCTCCACGTCAGCTTCCCAGTCCTTTGGAGACACCAGTGGCAGGGACTGGGCCATATTTCGGGAGATTTCAGAGACTACTGTGGCTGTAGACATTTCTACTGATCTCTCATAAAAGGAGGGAAATTCAGCTGTGAGATTCTCTCCTGCTGCAGCTTGCATTGTACAGGTTTTGTGAGCGCTTTTTGCTTTAGCGGTTGTGAGTTGGTTTGCTTCATCAAGTGGAAAAGTGCAAATGGAGGGTCATTCTGTAAGCTGAATCTCTGTCAGTGGGACAGAGGACTCCACTGGATAAAGTCAGCTAGCTAGCCTGTTTGCCCATAACCAGAAGCAGTTTAGATAAAATTAGTTTCATCTGTAGTAGTAGCCAGCTAGATGTGGAAGTGTTTCAGAGTTGTAGTTGTGTTTAGGGGTAGTTTTTGGTTGTTTAGGATTGGACTGTGGTCATATTTAGTGGTAGGGAATACATTACATTACATTATTACATTGTTGTCATTTAGCAGATGCTCTTAACCAGAGTGACTTACATAGGTTACAATTTTTTTCCACGCTATCCATTTATACACCTGGATATTAATTGAGGCAATTTTGGGTACCTTGCCCAAGGGTACAGCAGCAGTGCCCCAGTAGGTAATTGAACCAGCAACCTTTGGATTACGAGTCCTGCTCCTTAACCACTACGCTACACTGCTGATAGGGTTGTGGTCGTGTTCAGAAGTAGGGTTCTGGTCATCTTTAGGGGTAGAGTTGTGATTGTTTTTAAAGGCAAGGTTATGGCTGTAGAATAAGGAAACAGAAATATTAAACCACAAACCACTGCTCCGCATGAGTTTCTAATGACCATGTCATAATGGTAATTGTGTAAAGACCCATTGTAATTAAGAAAGCATTTTTTTAATTTTCTTTTTTATTTTACCTTTATTTTACCAGGAAGTCCCTTTGAGATCAAAAATCTCTTTTACTAGAGAGACCTGGCCAAGATAGCAGCCCTACAAACTCACAACATATTAAAAATACAACATATACAACATAAAATATGGCATATACAACATAATATACAAAAATCCACAACAAAAAACCTCCAACCACAACCACGTCTCATTCACTACATTCTTCTAATGTAAATTATTACAATAATTTACATTAGTCCAAAGAGCTGTCTGTCATAGTCTGAGAGCATGTGGGGTCGTGCGCCCGTGGAGTCTGTTTTTCCTCTGAGTTTTCCTGTGTTTTTGCCTTTGACGTGCCACAGGCAGTGTACCTGTATTACAGGTGACAAGCGATGGAGGGTAATACTCCACTTGCAGGCTTGCCTGTGATTTGAATCGTAATGGCTCATTTGAAGGAGCCGTTTGCAGAATAAACGCCAGCGATCGTTACTGAAATGGCGGCCGGCAGCCTGCAGGCCAGACTGCCTTTCCTCTCCGCACCCCCCTCAGAACCGCAGAAACCTGACGCCAATCGGATGTGAAATGTTATCGCGCGACGTGATTGGCTCAGCACGGTGCAGGCCCCTCCCCCCGTCACCCGCCCTCCTGTGGAAGTGCTTACCTATTCACAGCCTGTTACTCGCAATCATACAAACCGCTATAAACAGCAGTAAGGCACATCACCTCAGACACCTTTCCCGTTTCTCATATGTTGTGATTTCATTGCGTTTCTGTATCCATAAACTGTAGACTAATACACAGCATATGCTGAATGCAATAAGCTTTTTTTTTTTAAAGTCTGATGTCAAAGTATTCTTCCCTGTGAAATGACAGTGTGTTATAATGCGAGTCCCAGCGTCTCTGCTCACTGTGTTGGAAATACACCTGCCCCAGTTTGGACGGGTGTTCCCCACCTGGCAGCTCTCCGACAGTGATCCCTGTAAAGCCTCTGTGTCACTGTTGTCCTGCTAATGAACCCTTTTCAAGTCTTCAGCTACAAAATCTGCTGACTGAGAAATGAGGATTTGCTTCTGAGTTAAACACATTGTAATTTTTAAGAAACATTATTTAATGACATTCTAATAAATTTTGAAGCACAGTGGAGTAATGTTGAGAGGTTGCTTAATAACGGTAGTAATAGTAGTGTCTGGGCAGACTTGTTCTCTCTGCGTGGTCGTGTTCGCTCTGACTCTGACTCTTTGGCTTGTTGTGAGGGCGTGAGGCAGGATGGACAGCGCGGCCAGTACGAGGGGGAGTGTCGATCCTGGATCATGTGACCATCAGTCGCTACTCCGTTGACTGACTGAGCCCGTCCCCCTGTCCTGCCAGCGTCCGTGTGTGTGTGTGTGTGTGTGTGTGTGTGTGTGTGTGTGTGTGTGTGTGTGTATGTGTGTGTGTCCTCCTGGCCTGGCGAGCCGGCGTGGGGTCAGAGGTGCTTTGGCATTCATGGCCAGAGCTCGTCGTTAAAAAGGAAAGATTCATTGTGCGGGGAAATGGCCTTCGCTGCACAACATTGTGATAATTGGAAACATTTCCACATGGAAGCACTAATCACCTGGGGGTGATGGGGGGCGCGGAGGGCCAACAGAGCCGTGTGAAACAAAGCACCCGCCTGGCCTGCCCCCCGCTCGGGGTGCTGTAGGGTGAGGCAGATTCTGAGCCCTGGTGTTTTTCAGAATGAAAAACACTGCTAACTATCACTCCTTATGAAATGTCATTTATTAATAATGAATCATGAATTATGAATTATGTATCATGTATCATGTTGAGCCTGACCAGATTTAAAGAAGGAAGAATTCTGTACGTCATTCCCTCAGAAATGACAGTTTCCTGAACGACCATTTAAAGTTCATGTTTCAGATTTTCTGTTTTTCATATTTTTAACACGCTAAATTAATGTTTCCAGGTTTGTTAAATGAATTAAAAATAAATGGTGAGGCTACACCAACTGTTAAAAACAACAGAGACACGGTTATAGTTGCTTATCTTTACACTATCACAGTGTTATTGCTGCTTACCTTTACACTGTTACAGTGTGCTACAGTAGAGGGGGTGCTGATTGGAGGACAGACGCTACTCTGCTGACATCATCAGCAACTTCCAGGTGTCTGACCAATCACAAGGTGCCTGAGAGCGGTGAAAAAAAGTCACCCTGGCTGACCTGTCTGCCCCTGCACCCGGGGAAGGAGGCCAGTTTGTTCATCTCATGAGACGGCCAGTTCTGAATCCGAGCTGTAGGGTGTTGCTGACAGAGATGCCAGCATTGGGTGGATCCATTCTGAATCTTGCGACAGAGACAGTTTCTTCCCCGTTGTCTAGACTCGAAATCTCTGGGGTTTCGCAATGTCACGCTGGTTTTGTCAGAGGTAATTTGAAAAGTAATTAAAATCAGCGAATGGAGAGCTCTTAATTTCCATTTCCGGATTGTTCCGCACAAAGCCCTGAGTGTGAGTGGGAAGCGTAGGCCGGGCTGTGACCTCTGACCTTTCCAAAAGCCCTGCAGATCAGAAAGACTCTATTTCCCCCATCAAAGATGCAGATAATTGCTCAGCGATCAGCAGCGGAGGGGAGCAGGGAGATCAGTGGAGCTGTGAGGATGACCGTTTAAGCTTTATCACCCATGGTTCCCCGACTCGGTCAGATCCTCGAGACGACTTCAGTTATTTTTGGGTATTCGTCTGTAGTAAAATGACACCATTTTCAAATTGCCCCAAATTGCCATAGTGTCTGGGAGGAGGCATATCTCTTTCATGTGTGCTCAGTCATCGGAGAGAAAAACATCTACACGGTGAAATCTCTGACTGTCCGCCATTTTTACAAGTGTCAAGGAGAATGGGCCAATTTAAGATTTTATTTGGTTTTCATCTCTTGGAGGAGGATACGTTTCCCCTAAGGTGTTACATGGTGATCTTTGTGTCCCTGTGTCAATAGCCCCTGGAGATTGAGGGGTGTCTGGGCATCTTTTCTGGAAGATTCTCTCTGGGCGGCGTGGCTTCGTATGTAATATAGATGAACCCTGAAGTGGAGCCTCGGAATTGAAACCCAGGTTTAGGGGAGAAAAAGAATTTCTTTCCCTGCAGAAAAGAATGTGTTTTGTTCTCACAGCTGCGTAGTGTGATCGTGTAGGAGATTGTTTTTTATTTCTGTTTTTTTCCCACCTGGTGCTTGATTTTCCCAGTGCGTGACTCCCTCTCTGAGTGCAGTTGTGTGGGAGCCAGTTGGGGCCTCTAACCCCCCCTTGTTGGAGCTCTTTGCAGTGATTTTTGTGTGCCCCCATTTCCTGATGAGTCTGTCACACCTCATCTCATGTTTACTCTCACTTTCTGTCCTGACATAAAAAAGTACTGTGGAGACTGGCATTACATTACATTACGTTATTGGCATTTAGCAGAAGCACTTATCCAGACAGACTTGCATTGCTTAGTTTCTTCTTTTTTACAATGTTATCCATTTATACAGCTGAATATTTACTGAGGCAATTGTGGGTTAAGTACCTCACCCAAGGGTACAGCAGCAGTGCCCCAGAGGGGAATCGAACCGGCAGCCTTTCGGTTACGAGTCCTGCTCCTTTACCGCTATGCTGCACTGCCGCCTGGCAGAGCTGGTTTGGGGTGCTCGCTGCTGACCCTTCCCATGTGATGTGCAAACGATGTCCCCGAGAGGAAGAGCGTGACCGGAAGCGGTCTGTGCGGCACACGCAGGGTCTCCTGGTCGCACCTGTCTGAAAATCATCGTGTCCTTTCCCTTCGCTCGGCTGAACCCCGGGGGCCGGGTTTTAGCCTGCGTGCGCTAAAGACCTAATGAGCGCATTGGCATGGGAAGGGCGGTGTTTTAATGCGGTCAGATGCGCCGGGAGCAGGCGGGCGATAAGTGTGCCTTTGTTTACACCCTCCTGTGGTCAGGATTTGCATGCTGGCCCCGGTCTAATTGCCCAGTCCCCAGTGCTCGCTTCATCTAAATGATGAGTTCATTCGGCGGGTGGGGGAAGGGGGGGTCGCCTCTGCTCCACTGTGATCCCCGATGTGCTCCATCAGGCCCGCTTTGACCCGCTGGTTCTGGAGCTGTGAGTCCGGACTCCACCTGGGCCACAAGCAGGTCTGTACCGGATCAAGCAGGGGTACAGTAAGACCCAATAAATCAGAGTGGGGTTGCTTCCACCATCACTCTGAAACAGGAAACTGCACTGATGCTCAGGATGTTATTTTCATCTCAGAAACAACCAAATGCATCATCTTCAGTCTGCTTAGGAGTTAGTATATTACACTGAACAAGCACCTAGCCCTACAAATACAGACAGTGTCATTGCTTTTATTTGGTATACATTCAATTAGAGGTCAAGGTGTCCTGCCATATATTGTGTCCACCAGGAGCCTGGTTTCATTGAAACGCAGCTCTTGTCATTCTCATGAATGCTGTATTGCAGTGTAGTTAACTTTCTGTGTAGTTACATTCTCTCAACACTGAGGGGGGCACATCCCCCGCCCCCAGAAAACCTAAGCCAATGGAGGCCACAGAATCATCAGAGAGCATTAAAGACCCACACAGGGTGTCAGGGAGGGTAGGAATATCTCTCTTTGGCAGATCAGATCAGATTACCCCGTCCTGCCCTAGAAGGTTTGGTGGTTTTCTGGTTATTGTATTAATTTGTTGGCATTTATCCATTTGACAGATGCTCTTATGCAGAGCCCTGAACTTGCAGAGGTGTTGTTTCGATCCCTTACACAGTCCAACCCTGAAGTGAATGGAATTATCATATCCTGTTG